TCTCCCTGTCCTTATCTTGACCTACGAGCCTGTTATATTTTCTCTCTCCTGTCCAGATGACAAGGGGGAGTGATAGAACAGCTTTGGTGGGGACCTGGCATCCAGCCAGGGTCAATCCACCACGTGGACAAAGGGATTTTTGTACACGTTTCAGTGTTGAATTCAACTGTAGGCTAGAAGATATGTCCTTGATATCATTGGAAAGACCCATTTGATTAACTGCAGTGTAGCTTTGGACAAGCACTACACACCCCAAGAGTAAACCATGAAACACAACCTATACAGTTCAATCGCTGTCATCAGCAGATTTATAGTCCCATCACCTCTAACTTCACTGACATGGACTAATTTGAATGAAGCTCACTCAAGTCATTGGGTGAAGCCTGATTTATGACTGAAGAGAGAATAACTGACGAAAATGTCATGATACATCTATAACAAAGCTGCATGGTGAAAGAACTCACTCACTGAGCTAAACCCAGAGGGACGGGTCCAGTGGGAACAGAGAACAGAACGTATTTAACCAGCACAATGCATGCAGCAATGAAAGCAAGCGGCTCTTATTCCTGTAAAGCTAACCTGTAGGGTCTTTCCCCCATATTCCAAGCCACTGACCAAGACAGAAAAAAAGCAGCAAACTAAGTCCACAAGTGTATCATTAGCACATGCACCTATGAAACACCAAGTCTAAAGAACCCGAAATAAACAAAACCTCCCATTAAACTAACAGCAGTCTTCTCAGATACGTGTGTGATGGGAAGGCAAGAGACACTCACCATCATTCTCCAAAGCTCCCCAACCTGTGACAAAACAGGAAGCGTTATCTGGGAAAATGTGAGATGCTTCAGGAAGACAGACACTGTGCACATCACTCGTGAACTTAATAGCAGAGGTAAGTTCCACAACAGCCACATCATAATCATGATCAAGAACTAAGTCGCTATATTTCTCATGAACGATAATTCTTCGGATGAATTTTTTCTGTTTTGGAGGTCTCAGCAGAATTCCAAAGCTGGCAGTCCACCTCCGAGGATCTCTTCCTCTGTAAGATATTTGAGGTTATGTCACAGCCACGCAAAACAAGATCCCCAAAGGAGCTTATCTCTCCATTTAAGCATCAAAATGCAATGTGGCCAGGTTTGCCTAAGGGACAGAGAAGAGCCAAATTACATTATCTTTCAGCAGATACAGACATTAGTGGGCCACAAAAGGTCAGAGCACCCAGGAGTCTTAAGGCCTGTAGGATCAGAAAGGTTCTGATGACTTACCCTCTAAAGCAGTGAGCTGCAGTCACTAGCCACCTATTACTGATCACTGACGCACCACAGCGATGGATCCCGTCAAGCTGAATACTAGCCTGCCACGGCCATTCCCCATCCCGTGCACGCTGCCCGCCAACTATTCTCTCCACTCCTGTGAAGGAGAATGTCTGTCTTCGTATTCCACAGCCTGTCAATGAAAAGGCGGCTCTGCTTTAGCTGATTGAGGGACATCGGAGTGTTGCTTTGGGAAAGGCCCTCATGGCTGCAGGCACAGGCATAACAGGGCAGGGGTGTCAAGAGACAGCCTTCACCTAAAGCACTGCCTCCAGTAGCAAGGAAACCAAGTGTCATGGTCACAAGCGTCTCAGGACAGATGTGGGGTAAACAAAGAATTTTGGTAGAAGAGTCACTACTTTTTCATTAAGCCAGTTTTCAGACACAAGCCCAGATGTACTCCCATGGGAACTGAAGGCTGTATATCTGTGACAATGTTTATTTTCCCCAGTTCTAACTGTTTACCTAGTTAAAAAAACCCACTGCCTCTACAAACCTTGCTTTGTTTGATATTTGACCAGAGCTGTACAGAGCAAAAGGTAACATACATAGCCATTAGTGTGTCTGTGCATACAGGTACACACACAGGTTATTAGGCACAAAGATATGCACTGATAATTAACCTAAGCATTTACATTCATACACCTTTCATAATAACACCATGTAAGTTTCATCTAAAGACCAAACCTCTCTTGGTACTGCATGAAAAAAAAAAACAAACCCAAACATCCTTAGTTTGTTTCTTTAAAAAGACTTCTTAAAAATTGACTATGAAAATACTGAGGAACCCCCGCATAAATAACAGCCACCACATCAGGGCAGCTCTAGGCTTTGGTGCACACAACACTGCCAAAAAACGCACAAGACAGACACCGCACATCACTTGTGAACTCACTGGAGGCAATCTTCCCATTATTTGTAACATCCCACCTGTATAGCAAAGGCAAACCCAACATAGTCAGTATAGCTTTAAGTGTCACAGAGTTGCTGAAGACGAATTTTCAAAAAACCACAAAACCAAACAAAAAACCCACCGACAAACTAAGCAAAAAAAAGGGATTTTGTCAGGTCACCTCCAGGTCAGCCTTGACAACAGCAACAAAAATATAGTATCCTCTTCCTCCAACAGTTCACCTATAGCCAATGTGCCAACAGCAGAGTCATGTATTATTCAGCTGAAAAAAGTTAGATCCAAAGCAGTTAATTCTCAGAGTCCATTTAAAGATGGAAAGCTAACACAGAAAGGCTCCAAGACCATGCAGGGGACAATATAGTCCCCTGGGAGGGGACTTATGCTGTCTCCCTTTTTCCAGAGGAGCTTTAAGACCCCCACAGGGTGGGCACAGAACAGGAGAGGGAATGAGAACCTGACCCTCTTCAGGGCTGTGGCCATGGCCTTGCTCTCACTGTGGACAGATCTCCCTCTCCCATCCTTTGACCTCTCCCTGTATATTGCAAGGTTTAGCTCAAATCTGAGAGACATCTATTGCCAAACCTTTCTACAGGGAGCAGGGGATAGGAGGGAAAGTGGTTTTGGAAGGATTCCAGCAAGAATCTCAGCCCACAGAAACTGCAGTCCTTCTCACATACTGCAGCTCATCTACACGCCCCTACTTCCCATAACTGACATTAAAGCAAGTGCTTCCCACCACCAAGTCAGAATGCATGACTCTGCAAAAACTACTGAGCCAGCCTGACTGCAAGAAAATGAGATGAAGTCTTCCCTGGCTCATACACTGTCTACTGCTCTAGTATTGTTGAGTTATTTTTTTCAACTTGCATCTCAAAAGCATAAGAATCTTGTAAACACAGATCCTATAGCACCATGTCCCCGGATCTTTTCTATAAAGCATTTGTACTTACAGTTGTATAAAAGGCTATCTCCCTTTTCCTTATTCAACTCTGAAATGAAAAGCAAACATCACAGTGAGTATATCTCATACTGCTACATGATCTACCACAGACTCCCTCCCTGTACCCAGTAAACACAAATTAAATGGCTTGCACTGCTACATGGAGTGACAGTACGGTAGAAGGAGTAATTTGCTCTGTTGGAGAAGTTCAATTAAGCTTCTGTTCCTCACTGAAAATGTAAGTCCAGGCAATGCATCTTTCTTGCCTTAGCCCAAAGCTAATAAAAGCAGCAGAAGACTGCAGATAGGTCCAAGTAACATCTACATGTGCTGGCAGCTGTGCACGATATCAACGCCTACATGCATTTGTTCAGGTTCAGTATGGCAAAGTGGTCAAAACAGTCTTCACAAATCCTCAGTGCCGGGATTGACTGGAGCTAAACTGTAACGTTTCTGATTTCTTTCCTACAAAAAATTCTCTACCAGATTCTGATGGTAACCAACTACAGATTCATGGGAGATGATTACTACCCAGGGAACCTCAGGGTTTTGTTTTGAACTCTTGCTACAGCAATCTGTCAGATAAGCAAAGGAAACAGCAGGGGGTGGAGAAGGGAATCATCTCAGCCTTGCATTTTTTTTAATAGCTTAAGGAATCTGTGTTTCAGTACCTAGTGATACAAGTTCTTGTCCAATTCACTGTGTGCCTTAAAGGAATCTTTGAAACCATGGTCACAAAGCTGGGCCTTTTTTTGATGGAGGGGAATATCTCATTCAACAGGGCTAGGTCACACAGAGAAAGCTTCTGATGCACAGAGGAGAGCTCACATTCATAAATCAGGGCCAATATGCTTTAGTTCTTTTCATGCTACTTCTTCCAAGTACCCGGGTTGTCAGCGATAACACACACTTTTGAGAAGGCAAAAGAATAAGAATAGCCCATATTTGCATACTAAAGTGAAACTCATTACACTAAGAACAGCAAAGTATGAGGAACAAATTCCAATCTAAGAACACAAACCTAAGGCACTTGCCTGTGAGACTAAGGGTAGACTGGTCAACATTCAAGAACGTGGAGCTTGTTTGCAGACTTCTGCGTAACACACGATTGACGTGACCCCAGCTCGTTGCCTTACTGTCAGCGGAGGCAAATTTAAATACCAGAACAACAGATGCAACCACTCCACCAGGATCTGGGCTGCAAACCAACAAAAACAAAGTGATGTCATTCTCTCTTTGCCCACTAATCCTCTTTGTTCTGTTTTGCACTGTCTGCCTTCTTTATACAAGAACAGGTCTGGACTGCACAGATACATAGAACAAATGAACAAATAGCATAGTTGTGCACAAGTAAAGGAAGATGATGACATGTCAGCAGGCAGCAAAAGGCTTGGTTCTTGCTATAACAATCAGAGGGAATTTTTTGGAAACTGTTATAAGCAGTACAGCTGAGAAGGAGAGGGGATCACTCCCTTTGGCCTCCATGCAGCTCATAGTCAGTACAATACAGCAAGTTAAAACCCTTCAACAGTTACCCAACAGGCCATTCCTAACAGCCACTCAGAAGACCCAGTTTAGAGCCACAGAAGTTAAAAAGATCTTTTGGCATTTCTTTCCATTTAAGTCACATGGCCCTTTATTGGCCAGTTAGCTCCATTGTATCTACAGACAAAGTTCTCAATAGTTTGAGTTATCAGAGCAAGGCATGATCTCTTACTGTCAGTATAAAATATTTGGCCCAATATTTTAGACTAACAGTCTAATAGAAAACCAACTGAAGCCTAGAGGGAAAGACAGCAGAGATGCAGCTAAGCTGGTCCAGTGCCTAGCTGCACAAAAAGGTACCAAGCGAAAACAAGTTTGAAAGAGTTACAGTTTAGTCAACCTAAAAGGTGTAAAGAGGTTGCTGAAGTCTAGCTCCCAAGTTCTGTAATTTCAGTTGATACACAGTATGGGAGGCTTGTGGAAGAAACCAGCAGCAAAACCCAATATAGAACAGTTTAAGGAAATGATTCATTCCATCTAGAAACAGGTAAAGACAAGAAAGCCCAGAAGTGCTTTGAAGAAGGACATTTCTGAGAAGTCTGGCATTCTTTGCTGTCTAGGGAAAAATATTCCACAGCAGAATTGAGCCTTATAGAAACACAATTCCAAACAAAAGTAAAGTGAAGGAGAGGGAAGTGATGGCTCTTATCGCTGAGTGATATATAATTACTGCAGAGAGAGGAAAGACTTAAAGGCTTTCACATTGGACCTTTATATCTGTATGTCCCACTTGCCTCCTTCCCTCAACTCTGAATCCAGGTATCTCTCAATGGAAAAATTTATTCCTTCAGACCTTTTCAGAGAAGGAGGAGAATACTCACCTCCTGCTGTACACAGTGCAGAGGGGTGAACACCAGCCTGAGCTTCCATTAAGTAGAATAAAGAGCTGACTCTGCATCTCTCAAGCCCTTAACTAGTAGTGAAGTCTGGGGCCACCGAGTAATTCAGCTACTGCATTACAGCCACAAGCAACTGGTGTTCAAGTAATCAATCTGCAGAAGCATAAGGCCAAATTTCTCTTCCTTGCTAACCTTTGAAGGTAACTGAGCCCTCGATGTTGTGAGTACTGAAGGAGAGCCACAGCCAGCGAAGACTTAAGTCATCCTGCTGGTGTAATCCAAGCAGAAACAACCAGGCACACTCCGTATGGTCAAGGGGTAGGAAGAAAGGGTATTTATCACATCCTTGCTTATTCTTGACCTTCACATTACTTACCTTAGACTGACAACATGGGACCTGATGTACCTTTTACTTAGAAAGGACTCCTTGAATACTGCAGATATCTGTTAAAGGAAAAAGAGCGTGTTAAAGTACACCTGTAATATGTACAATATAGCTCTCAAGCTATAACAGTCTCATGAGCTTCCAAGACACAAGAAAATGCCTTCAGATCTCCACCTCTACACCAAAGCTACTGCAAAATTTCCATCAGAGGGTGCAGAACCAAAATAAACAGCTGAGTTGGCCAATTTTGCTGCCCTTTCTGCTCTGCGGATGCCTGTTCCGCCACAGAGCTGCTGGAAGAGACAGCACCTGTGTTGCCATCTGCTTGCACACAGTCAGCGATGCATCTGTAACCCACTATGGCAGGGTTCGAAAGGTAAGGCCAGCCACATAAGGATGAGGCATAATCACCTCTGACTATTTCTAATCACACAATCACAGGACTCTTCATCATACGTCAGGCAAAAAGAGAGAAACATCTTAGCTTACCATGGTTTCAATATCTTGGCTCAGGTGCCTGAACTCTTCTGTGGTTTGCCTTTCGTACTGAGGGTTGTACTCGACATTGGTGATGAGGAAAGATGCATTGTAATATCGATCCTGATCTACAGAGAAGAAGAAAAGGAAAGGTGGCTGATCTTCTTCAGTACAATTCAGACATGCACAGTACTTCACAGAGCATGGCACAAGTAAGGCTCCCAAGTTCCGGATGTGATCCCGTCAGCTGTGGAATTACAGCTTTAGCAGAACTTTGGGAAAAGGGGGCTCTGGACCATCTTGTTGCTTCATGGACTAGCTAGGGGGTCATTTCTACTTTGAGGACCATCCCAAGTACCTCTAAATTACATCCCCTACAACATTTCTATGGGAACCGTCTTCTCATCAGCCTGAGGTGAGCACAGCACGAGACATACCAGCCCACATACGTCCCTTCTGACTCAGTAGACACACTCACTCCTCCCTACCTGCTCTCTGGCATGTCCCTGTCCCTCTGAGAGGCAGGTGGCCCACAGCTGTTTGCATCTATTCAGCAGTCAGTTTAAGTTTAAAATCTAGCTCTTGGGTGAATGGCAGAGAGGGGCCCCATAACGCAGAGTTAGCAAAAAGCAAAGCAAAGTTGTAGCTCTGCCAACTGCTCTGTCTAGTGCCCTAACGCAAGCCTCGTCAACTCTCAGTGAGCTGAGACAGCAACACGATTAGTTCCATCCCAGCAGGAAGGCATTTCAAAACCCCGCTCGCTGATATCTCAGAGCCTGAGAATGGAATGGCTTGGCTTCATTCACTTGCTACTGAAACTGGGCCCATGGCAACCAGTACTGACTCATGGGCTCCAAAAAGCCTAAACCTCTGCCCTCTCTTTTTCTGGAATATCCTCAGCTAGAGGTGCCATGCTCAGTTTCTGCAAAAACCCTTTTCAAGACCAAGCTTACTATGCATAGCCTTAGTACTAGACACAGCCCTCGCTTACACAGAAGACTGCTAGCCCTTGGTTCACCATGGATACCAGTGGAGGCACAAGAGCAAGACAAGAAACAAAGAGGGACAAAAAACTTAAATTCCTGCTTCAAATAAATGATATTTTAAGTATTCTTGCAGTTTTTCTAATCAATTCAGCTCTTGAATAGGGTCTTAGCAAGTTTTCTCATGTGGATTCTATACCAAGGCTGAATTGTATACCTAAATCATCAAGCAAGACCACAGTAGCAAGCGAAATACAACAGATTCCTGAAGACTTGTGAGAACAAAGAGAGTGGTGCACTTACCATGGCACAAAAAAAATGTAATCAAGCCAATGATGAGGCTTAAGCCTACTATCACCGACACAACGATGACTGCTATCTTCCACAGTACGAGCTTCATTGCTCTGTCCACCTGGATCACTATCTGCATTGAAAACAACATGGAGAAATTCAACTCTATTACAAACACAATAGCACATCCTGAGCCAAATCATATCTGGCATAGCTTAGCTCAGCTGACAAACCTCACAGAATGAGGTAGGTTGAGAACGACCTCTGGACCTTGTGGGTCTGACCTTCTGTTCAAACCAGGTCCCACTACAGCAGGTTGCTCCAGGCTTTGTCCAGTCAAGTTGTTAGTATCTCCAAGGACAAGTCTCTCAGGAATCCTGGTCCAGTCTATGACCACCCTCATAGCAAAAGCTTTTTCTTTATAAGAATTCCCAATGTTCTAACTTGCCTCTATTGCTTCACATGCACCCCTGAGAAAAGTCTAGAGTTGTGCAGATATTGCTAGTAGAGACAATTTCCCATCAAGAAATATTACACAGATTTCAAGTGCAGCTGACTGCCCACGCAGGTGCTTAAACTGAACATAAATGTAATAATTCATGACTGATGAAATAACTTCTGCACCAAGGATACTCTAGGCTACCAGAGATGCCATATAACATGCAGCTTTTGAGTTATTTTTAGTGGTATGACTAGTAACACTTATTGGGTTTTGCTGCACCAAAACCACACATACATTGTAAGAGACCGCATCCTGTCTCCTGTCAGACAGTCTGTCAGAGGGGAGAGAAATAGCTACTGATGTGTAAACATGATATGGCAACAAAACTCAGACTTAGTGACTTGCTGAAGGCCAACAGCAAACCTGTAAAAGGCTTGGGAACTTGATTCACACACATAAGCCTTTCTGCTCCACTTATGTCCTCCTGTGCAGCATTAAGCAAGAGAACATTAGGAAAACTGCATTTTTGCGCATGTCCTCAGTAGCTTTGTTGTAGGATGATGCAAAGCCCTAAGCACAATTATTTCATATCCCCAGTAATTCCACAGCACACTATGTAGTAACTGTTCTCATGCCCCGCACTGAGTCTCTACATCGTGGTTGGCATTAGTACGGGGTATCAGAAAAACAAATGGGGTAATCTCTCAAAGGTGCCTGGAGTGACAAATCACAACAGCCAGCTCTGAGGAGGAGGGACTCAGCTGGCTAGTCACCATGCTGTTTTACACCCAGTGATCCACGTTTGTATTGCTGTGGACCAGACATACTAAACACCATTTTCCCCATTTCAGGGCCATGGCACAGCCATTTCCGAGCAACATCTGAGAACACAGGGGCAGGAAGGGGCAGAAAGGCAGGCAGAGAGAGTAAGTCTTTGCAGGTTTTCTGACTAGAAGGTAGCAAAGAAGAAATCAGTGAAAGCAGAGCAGGATACCAGCAGAGGCTCCATCCTGGGAAATGAGCTGAGGGGGCAGATGAGCAGTGAAGGCAAGGGTATGATGCACAACTCCAAGACAGCAAAAGACAGTGAAGTGGTGAGAGAGCAGAATGGGGTTACACACTCTGCCCCAAGGGCAAGAAAGCCGAGCAAAGCTACAAGGAAGAGAGGGTAAGCAAAGAAAACCAGAAAAAAAGAAAAGGGTAAAAAAAAAGGATAAGCCACAGAGGAAGCAGCTGAGAGGTCTGCACACAGTGAGGGTGTGCTCAGTAAGTGACAGGAAGTTGGAAGCAACTCAGAGTTTAATCTCCTCACATAAAAGCTTGGTTTTGGCTAGTGAGACTACTGGCATGTATCCCAGAGTCCATTGCTTAAGAAGGGAAGCAGGCAAGTTTTTACCCACTCAAACAGGTGGCATACTGGAAAGAAAAAGTTAAAGAGGGTAGCTTCAGCCAGCACCCCAACTGCAGGTGGTCACAAGCAGCAACTTAGCGTTACCAAAATACACAGGACAGGTGACCAGGACCAAGCCTTCTGCTTCAGTGTCATATGCTACAGAGAAACCTAGTCCATCTCCTGTTGTGCCTACTTTATTGGGGCAAAGTTATGTTCTGGCAATGCACAGTCCAAGTGTTCCCCAAATCTAGCTGTCTCCCCACTAGACTGGCTCAGTTCCCTGGTGGCAGGGCTCTGCAAAACAGAGTGTGGGGCAGCTGGTAGGAGTCTGAAAGCCCGTGCTGGCCAAGATTACTTTCTTCAGAAACGGCAAGTTGCAGTAAGCATGTAATACACATACTAGAGATCAATTAGTTTTGCAGAGGCCTTGACTTCTTGCCATCTAGACCTTCACTGTATACACTATCCATTACCCCTGAGGGTTTAACGTACGCAGACATTTGGATGAAAACCTGAGACCAGTGGGACTGTCCTGCCTCAGTTTCTTTAACATGCTGCAGCTTCCTATGGAGCTTTCCCATCCTCATCTCACTGCTCATGCTCTTTCACAGTCCCAGGTCATGGAATTGCAGCATACCTCATGGGCAGCCAATTACTGCCCTTGAGGACAAGCCCCTTGGCTAACCAGAACAGCCCATTATGGCAATATGCCTCTGCCCCTCCTTAGCTAGCCACCTCTTGTATTTTAAAGATTCTGCTTTAGCATCTGACTTTGCTTTCCTCACTGGAGAGCTTTTGCTCTCCAGCCTCAGCCCCTGCCATCAGTCTTGATCAGACTGGTTCCCTGTGCTTCAGCTCTTCTCACCCCAGTGTGCTTCCGCCTGAATGGCAATCAGAGCAACACCTCTCCATTGCTCTTGACAGAGAACACACAGCACAGCCCTGATGGCATATGTATGGATGACTCTACAGATATGAAGGCACAGTACTCTTGTTTCATAACCGCCGGCTTTTTTGAACTGTATACAGACAGATTTCCTCAAGACATGGCCTTATGCCTAAGCTACAAAAGCTTAAGACTCACACTTGAGAAACGAGTGTCTCACTGCCCGTGGGGCTCATGCTCTGACAGGCAGCCCTGTCCTCCATTTCAATCTATCTCTATTTGCTTTTCGTGCAAGTACCAGCTACCTTGACAAACACTGCTGGCACAGAGCCCCTTCTCATCCAATGTTTCAGAACTGCTTGCTCTCCACAGGTCACTAGACTTGCAAGGGGAAAAAGATAGCTTAGGAACTGCTGCAGTGCTAGGGGAAATGGAAACATGGGAGATGAGGAATAAAAACATCCTCACTTTAAATTTTTTTAAGAAAACAGTTTAAAGGAAGCAGTTCCATGTATTTCTATATTCATATAGGTAATTAGTTTGAATACAGGATAAATTAAAGTGGAAATACTTCTTCAAACCCAAAACACTTTCCTCCCTTTAGCAGGATGCTCTTGACTCCATCTTGCTAAAAGAAGTAGGAACAGGAAAAATCTCTTATGCAATGGAAGCACCAAGTCTCATCACCTCCCACAGTGCACAACTGCCAGTATGTATCCTTCAACTGCAATGCCTGAGTGCAGCACCCCTCTCAGCAGCATACCCCCCCCTTTTTTTTTTTGCATCTACTTTAGCAGCAGACATGCTAGTCACCAGTTATGGAAAACGGTTGTGAAAGAAAAACTCTGCTGTTTCTAGCTTTTTAGGAAACACCTAATCTTTTGCCACCCATTTCAGGAATCGGCATGAAGGCAGGGAACAGATGGTCTTGTTTGGCCCAAAATCAGCTATCTTTTACTCTTTGAAGAACAGCTCCACTGCAGGCAACACCAAGTGTGTATTGTTTGCATTAGAGCAGCCTATATTTCCAGTATTGCCTAGGAGTTCTAGCCTTTGACACTGTCATGCTAGGGTCTGTATTCACAAAACAAAACACAGTCACAACCAGGTCTGTTTTTCAGCCTGCCTCTGCTGGAGACGTACTAGGATGTTTAGTGAAAGGCAGTTCTTGTTCAGATTATGTCCAGTCAATGCTTTCAGTCAGTAATCACACACATTACACCTCTGACTAGCTCCTTCACCCCCCTAGCCTTTTTGCTGTTATGCTACAGAGGGCAGGATTGTCATGCTCTACCAGAATAACCACCTGACAGGGATTCCTGTGCCTGGGACATCCATCTCTGCAGTTAAATATTTCAGTGGCATGTGGATCCCCCTGTTTAGGAATCAGACTTCTGCATGGCCTTCTCTGCATTCTAGTAACCAAGAAAACTCTGCTCCACCCAGCAACACTCACTGGCCAGAGAATCACTGATCCTCTGCAGTGCTGATGAATGCAGAGGCAGAGAGGATCTCATTGCCTTCAACCACAGATGCATCCTTTCTTTCTTCTTGTGGCAAAGAGGCACTGCTTAACAGATAGGCATTCTCCTCAGAAGACCCCCAATACCACTGCTGTCTGTGTAGATGCCTTCTAGAGTCAGATATTTTGTACAGCCTCACATTTCTTGCTTCCTCATACCACACACTTTGATTTTTTTACTGCCCAAACTCCAGTAAGCTGCAAATTAACTCTCAGGAGGGCAGACAGGGGAATTCAGGTAACATCAATGCATTCATCCTCCAGCATGGATGAGGATATCTTTCATTGCTCAAGAGCAAACCTTAAAAAGAGATCAGAAGCCAGACTCCACCAGGACATCTCGAAGGCTGAGTCCTCTCTGTTCTGAAAACCACCTCCTGGTGGTCTGCATCTGGTAGCTTTCAATCTGCAGTGAATTAGTGAGAAGCTTCAAACTCAAGATCTTTTAGTTCAGTACAAAACTGCTCATCTTGGCAATACTATGGATGAACATCAAACCTCCTCCAGCAATCCCTATTCTCATTTAAAACACAATTCATTCTCAAGGAGCCCGACAATCCATGGAGACAGCAGCATCTGACAACTTCATACCACAGTTCATTTAGGTCTGGAAATGCAAACTATTAAGTCTCCTAGCTCTGAGCCAAAGAATGTGTTTGATCACTAAAAAGTTATTCTATACCAAAAAAATTCATCTGAATGAACTGTTTTGGAAATAGCTACATTTGTATAGCATTAAGATATTTTAAACACAGTAAAGTTGTGTTTAGAGAGAGAGATATTAAATCAAGTCTCAATACAGGATATTTTAAGAAGTGAAACACAGCAAGAAATAAAGATACATTAATAGTTACTGGCACATTAGGAAGAAGAGTTGTACTGAAATTTTATGGAGCTAAAATTGTCTGGTCTTCCTCATGAAACCAAGGAGAGAACAGATAGGATTTCAGGCTGGATTTCTGAGCAACCCTAAATGAATTCTTTACCTTCCAATTTGGAACATTTCCCAAAAGCAAAAGACAAGTACAATATACAGGTGACAAGCTGTTTTTCCTCTCTCATCTTGTACCGAACTCCCTAAAAGGTCACCATGTTCATTCACAATGCAAGTGATGAAAGTTCAGCTCCCACCTTTGCCCGATAGGATTTGATTCACTATATTGAGCTTATCGATCTCTTCTGGTTGAGCTACTGTGTGTTATTAAAAGCCTCAGTAAGAACAGTGCTGGAAAACTGATCAGAAAATGTCTATTCAGACAAGAAAAGGAAGGGTAGCTTCATCATCTGTGTCCTAAGAAACGGCCTTAGTCACTGAGCTGCTGGATAAGCAGGGAACAGCTACCCTGTTCTGTTATACAGACCTGCACTTGACATTTTTTAACTTCTTAAGCTAAGCCCTCATAGCACCCCAACCTAGATTTGCTTTTAGATGAATCTAAACTATGTTTTCTGGCATCAGCTGTTTTGCCATGCTCTGCATAGAAGAAAACATGCAAACTCTTCTAGCTGATCTGCTGCCATCTTCCTATATTAAATTTATTATTATATTTTTTACTATTATACCCCTGCTCACTGTCATTCCAGTACTCTCAGAAGAGCCAGTGGCAGAGTTTGGGTGGCACATCTGCTGATGAGGGTCTCTCTGCATTTATAGCCGTGATCAGTTTTTTCCTTTCGAAGATGGATTCAGGCACATCCCTACAATCACTCTTCCTAGAAATGGGACCTTTCACAAGAAACTGAATGGACTAATCTGCTGGCCTGGTGAGTACAATTTGAAAATCCAGACTAGGTCCCTGAAGCTATCTACCTTGGCAGGGTGGTTGGGAATGGCAGCACTGAAATACGTGGGGCTTAGTCCAGGATTCCTGTAGCAAAAGCACAGGGCCACAAAGCAAGACATGCTAATTCCACTCCTACCTTTGCCACAAGCAATCACACCAACGTAACACTTCTCTGCTCTTGTGGCATACTCAGAACACACACTTCTAAGAGAATGGGACAACAACCCCTACTACTTTAGAGATTGAAACAGAAGCAGCTAGTGCCTGCCTAAGTACTCCAAGACCCTTGTTTGGATGAGGTTGGTTACCTACCAGCCTCACTCACTCAATGTTTGATATCTCGCAAAGTAATCCTGATACAATGGAAGACTTCCAAAAATGGAAGGGATCTGCTGAGGGAAACAAAATGTGTGTGTTCTTCTATGCGTCACGCTGAATCAGCTTGATCTCCCCACACCCTTGAACATCCCACAAAAACAGTAGGTGCAGCATGCCACCCCCCTGCAGTCAGATAAAGCATCACTAATATATTTGCCACTTACTAATTGAGCTCCTCCCCTTAACCATCCAATTCTACCAAGGTCTTGCTGCTTCCCAGAAGCACATTTCAGCTGGGCAAAGACAACCGCTCCAAACACTGCCTTTGTTATTTTATTCAAGATTCAGGGGCAGCATTTAGTCTTTGGGATGTTTTAACTCAGAACCTAGCAGCAACAACATCCATGATGACAAAATGCTGCTCATACAAGCTTCTCTGATTATTTGGCCACCTTTGCAATCAGCACAAAAGGTTTGTTGTCCCTTCCTCTCTCATCCATTTTGCATACAGCTTTTTGGAGTTTATGAGCCTTTAATCGTTGGGATAGAGTTAGCCCCCCATACTACTACAACGGCCTGTGGGACATAACAATAATATCCTTGATCAATAACGTATCTTTCTACAGTTGACTGCCACAGCCAACATCTTGAGACAGACTCCCATGTTCTGAAACAAGCTTTAGTAGAACTAGGAGAGCTACTCACTGCATGAGGACTTCACAATCTGCATGAACACGAGTGGCCATCCCCGTGTAAAGGAAATATTACATACATGGCCACGGATCGCAATCAGTTTAGGATAAGGTTATGCAGCCTCTGCATCATCTTTACCTCTCAGATTTCCACTTCCAGCTGTGTTGGTCGTAGACAAGTATCTTATTCTGTTAGTTCGGCAGTCCCAGAATATAGCGCTAGATCTCCGCTTTCCAGCCTTCGAAAATAGCTCTGCCTGCCTCCCTTCATCCCACTTTGCTTGGTTGAAATCTGCTCCAGAAGCAAGACACCAAACAAGCAGTTATAGTCTTTGTGAATTTTCAGTTTGATTTTTTCATTCCAAGGTGGGGTGGGTGACATGGTCTGGTGCCAGATTTGGTGCGTTTCCAAGCCGATTCTGCACAGATTAACACTTCACTGGCTGCATACAAAGCCCATGAAAATAAACAAGAGCACAAGAAACTACTTTTAACTACTTTGCTCACCTTGTACTATGCTGTTAGCTCAGAGGTTGTGCCTGCAACACACTCTAACTGCACTAACACAAGTGGCAGTCAGGGTGCAGTAAGAGGATTCTCGCCTGCTCCCCCACTGCAACCTTCAGTGGCCTTAGGCCACCTTGATTTGTCACTATACCATGCTGTAGAGGAGCCAGGGAATTCTTGGAAAACAAATGAATTTTGGGTGAGGACAAAGTGTGAAATATCAGAAGGATTACTGATGCGTAGAAGGCAACTCAAATCAGAAGTAAGCTCAGAGCTAGTGCCATTCTCCCCATGCCCTCAGTCAAAGCTCAATCTCCCCTATAAATCTATTCACACGATATAGCCATGCTGCCCAAGCTACCAAGGAGCAAGTTAGAAGACTGCAGCACTCACCTCTGGCTACCACTGAGAGGTCAGAAGAAGCTCTTCTGTCTGGGAGATGCACTGTCCCGGATACCACAACACACTGTGCAGCATCTCAGCGTAGACTTGAGGCTTTATCTCCTGAATTAGGAAAGAAAGGAGTCATCGGCAAGTCAGAACAAACAAGTCCAGCAAGTCTCAGTGACAGAGGCTTACCCAGTAGCATGATTCCTCCCCTAAAACAATAGCAATACACTTCTTTCATCACACCTTTCATCCAGGAATCCTGAAGCCTTTTCAGAGCATTAACTACACCCTGCAACACCCCGAATCAGAACAGCCATGAAAATTTTGCAAGGACGCAGAGACTATTTCCCTCTTTGGTATAAGTAAAAACAAATCAAAAACTCTGGGCAGGACTAATGCAGAAAATTTGCATGTTCTAAAAAGACAGCGTTCAGTCCCAGGCCAGACACAGAGCAGACATAAATTGAAGCCGGTTCAGAGGCATGGGCCTCTTAACTCCCTTGAACTTCCTTGAAATTGGTCATTTGACCAGAAGAGAACTTGCCTCCATAACAACAGCTACATTCAAGTTTGTCATTCTTCTTTAACTTCTTAGATATTAATTTTAAATTGTGGCCACCTAGCCATACACACTGGAAAAATTCTTCTAGGTCATAAAAATTTGTGATATAAATATTTGCAGGTTGTCTAGATAAGCACTTCAACTTGCTCTAACTAGCACAAGTAATCTGGCAAGTCAATTAACACAAGCACAAGCTCTAACCTAGAGTAGCATTTCTTTTCTTTGGAATCCTTTTTTCAATTTGAAGTTTCCTCAGTTCCACCACACTTAGTAGAAGACATATATGCCCACATAGCCTTACACATAGACTTGTTTCAGAAAGTCAATAAAGAAGACAGAACATTACAAGATACTTGTGTGGCACATATTTTCTTTGCTTTGCTTCAATAAAGTTTCTAACATCTAAGGACTCTTTTCCTCCACCTTAATGACCTTTATTTGACCCCTCTACAGCTCAGGGATCACCAGCTTAGTAACACACTAATGCGAACACATCTAACATGGCTGGAGCTCTTCCTTCTACCTTATACCAAGCCCATAGTCAAGTAACAGGAAGACTGCCTTTCTGGGAAGACCAGCTTCTTTTGAATGAAACACAGTCTAAAGATAAGCCTCAGCTTCTCATAATTTGGATTCAGCAATGTCTCAGCATAACTCGTTGTGAAACACAATGAATACAGTTGCTAATGATGCACATAACATAATCGCTTCTCAATACTTTAACTGGAAGCTGCATTGCCATCCCATATATGAACACTTCTATTGAGTCAGTCCAGATGTGCAACAGAAATGCAGTCAGAAGCCTAGATAGAGGGTGACAATTTCCAAGGGTAAAGTATCAAGTGTCATATGATTACCTGACCCATATGTAGGTGGTGCGAAGATATACTCATTCCAGGCAGCCCATGATCTTCAGAGATAGAGCCCTTTCTTGTGACTTGATCGTGGCACAGGTGGAAGGATGCACAACACAGAGGCTTCATGGCAATCTCTGAATAGTCTTACCTGCATGCAAAAAACCTATTGCTACTTAAGGAAACAGGTTAAACTGAGGAGGCTTTTTAGGGCACTGAAAGTTCTTCCAGCCCTAGTTTCATGGGCTGGCGAGGGATGTAATAATCCTGGTCAATGGTCCCCTCTCTGCACAAGGTGTCTGTGTATCTTCTTGTACTGACAATACTTCCCTGGGGCAGAAACCCCCACTGAGAAAAAGGGACAGGCAATAGCCATCAATGGTTCAGTTACCAGGTACCTAGAAGAAGTTTGACTGCTGATTCCAGAGACAGTGTACTGATGCGCGCACTGGTGTTACACTGACAAACTTCAAAAAAGCCTGGACAAGTTGGGAAACGCTGGGAAGGAGGCAGGGGTTGTGGTCCACCTGGGCGCCACATAAAAGAAAGAAGAGAGATTCTGGAGGCAGAATGTAGGATGCCAAAGACCAGGACTCCCATTGTAACACAGCTGGTGAGGAGGCAAAGTCTGAATTCACAACTAAAGCAATGGAGTAAAGAAGAGAGGCTCAGGGTCATCAGGGGCTGGGGAAGCTTCTAGAATGGATTAAGTCTAGCAAAGGATGACCAGATTTCCACCTGAACTGAGAGGGAAACAGGATCTGCACTTCACATCAGGAAGATCACACAGAAATTTTAAACTGACAAGTAAGAGAAAACAGACTGGTGCACACAGGATGCACTGTTCTGAATCCTATGAAAAAACACTTTAGCCTCAAGAATAGAAGTCAAATAGTAAAGAAAAGTAGTAAAAACCAAGTCTAATATGAACAGGATACAGCAACAGAAAGCCAAACTCATGCTTTCCATGTTTCACAATTCTCTAAGAAGATAATAATGGCACAGACACAGAATGCTTACCTTAAACAAGGACATGGACACAGCAGGTATAAAAGAAACATTGTGGCAGGAAGGCAATGGAATGTGGAAATCCCATGGAACTGTTATTTCCAAATATTTTTATTACTCTGAAGTAAAATGTGAAATCTTCCCATTGATCACTCAGGTAATACTAGATTTCTAGATGCTGTGAATAACTGTTTCAGGAACAGGCAGCTAGGACACCCACTAAATGGAAAGCAACTCTTGATTCAGCCCTGATCAGTACACACAATTTGTTGATCATATCAGATTCAACACTTCTACAGATCCCCAAAGCGAGAAGATCGACTACTGTCATGCTCAATTTCAAAGACAGAAACCACACAAAAGTAGAAAAATCAATGAACCTAAAAGGGGAACTTTGAAGCATGTTTTCTGCAGGCAGAGAGACTATTTCAGGACATTATGTTAGTCTCAGAGCAAATGCACCCTGCCTCTCAAAGAAAAAAAAAAAAAAAGCCTTGAGGAAGCCTGAAGCTAAACATAATGATATTAAGAAAAAAACAAACCAAAACAAAACAAAAAAAACAAAACCATTGGGAGTAAGAAAGTATTCTTCACAAAAGCTGAAAAAAAATTAAAAGGTTGTAAACTCAGGCACAAACTGCAAAAACAAACAAACAACACAAAAGTTAGGCAGAGGCATACCAGGTATTTCTCAGGAGAAAAGTATCAGTATAATAAAATGGGGGAAAAGCCAACAACAAAGTGACCAAGATCAGGTCACACTGAACCAGGGTGAAGGATGGAAAAACTGCATTATCAGTGATGGTATGCAGTCTCTCAACCAACGCTACTTTATTGCCAGAAGACCAAGGTAAATCATTCCAAAAAAGCATTCTAAAGCAAGCATGGGGAACCTCTGACAGTGTAGCATGATATACAAACCAGCTACATTAGCGCAAGCAATAAAAGTAACGGGTATTTCTATAAATATGCTGTATTGGGTAGAATCAACCTGAAAAGGGTATGCAGGAAGGAATAGGGGTCTAGAAAGTAACGTGTGGAGTAGTGAAAGTGAACAGGAAAAGACTATTCACTATTTCCTCTCATACAATAACTAGGGGGCTTCAAACAAGCGCAGCAGGTTTAAAACGAGCACAAGAAGATACTGTCATATAATATAGGTAAGGTATGCAACTTCTTGCTGCAAGGTATGTAAAATGTCAAGTATTTTGTTCCTTTAAAGGGAATAATCACTTTTCTAGAAGAAAATTCCTCATGGAGTTCTTAAACATGGTGATTTCACCTTTGTGATCCAAGAATTTCCTGACTCAAATCACTGTAAGTTTACAAAATTCTCCCAGGAAGCACCGTCATCTTACTGCTGTGTTCTCATCTTCCCTAGGCATCCTCCATTGACTACTCCACACATCTCTACTTCATTTATCTGCCAGGCATTCCTTCTTAATAGTAATAATGAAGTATTATTAATCCTGTGATAGAACGACTGCCAGCTTGGGATCAATGTTTTGCCCATCTGTTTCCTGAGCAAAATGTGGTCTGACCTGCCTAGCTGGATCAGTAGCCACAGGAAGGATGTATTGGTATCGCTGCTTTTAGACAGTTAAGGAACCATGGCAGCCCTCTCACCAGAATAATTCAGCTGGAAAGGTCCTACAATGACCATCAAGTCCTACTGCCAAGAAGCTATAGGCATTCAGCTCAGGTTGCAGAGGAAGCTTGTGCTTTGCAGCAGCATGCATTCGTGGCTACAGATCACCCTATCTGTATGGTACCTGTATCTGATGACACATCAGACTCCAGAAAGGGGCTGTGGCCCCCCCAAGTGAGTTGAATGGTGTTCCTCTGACCTGAAACAGACTAAAGGGGTGTCACAAAAGCAACAGCAGCTCATGTCTTGCACACGACCAAAATTTGCCACTGTCTTTTTGGAAATTAATTTCAGACACGCACTGTCATTTTCCTAGATTCCCCCAAAGCTCGGCAAGTGAGATACAGTATACAACAGGCACTTACCAGAAATCAAGGCAGAAAATTACTTTTTCTTTCACATGTGGACACTAGGATGACATCAGACTGTCAGTGATCAATGAGCCAAGCATGCTCTTCATCTTTTCTCCTCCAAAGCTGTCTAGTTACCAAGACACCTGCCAAGGAAACAAAACCCACTTTATTCACAACAATCTTAAATTAATGTTAGGATAGCAAATTCCTGAGAGGATATTTGCATTTACAAAGGTTCTCACCAGACAAGTTGCTTAGCTCTTGTGTTGGGACAATAGCTCTTCCTTCAAGAAAAATTCAATACTGATTTGGTGTTGCCACCCCAAACACAGCTCTTGACACAGGCAGCTACCAGGCAACCTTCCTGAATAGAAGAGCTGAAGAAAACTCAAGCTACACCTTTGTAGCCACAAGTTCAAGAGAGTCCAGTCCCCAATGCAGGACACTGCAACTCTTTCACATTGTGATCTGCAGACAGATTTGGTAAAGAAAGGAAGGCTGCCTACGGGCTATGCAAGTTGGAATGGAAAAACTTAAGCCTGTATAATTAAAGCCACAAAAAAGTTTGCAAGGCAGCTCTGTTACTACCCATTACAAATGCAAATCCAAATTTCATAGCTTATGCTTTCCCTCATGGTTATGTGCAACTATCTTCCAACATATTAGCAATATTTTAAATA